TAGGTAGATGGCCAGACACACGAGCGGCGGGGAACAGGGGGGGGAAACGGGCCGGGAACAACTGAGCGGGCGGCCTCCCAGGGCCCCGGCCCCCCCTCCCCGGCCACCGGTGCGCCTGCCGCCGGGCCGCCCGCTTTCCCCCAAGCTCCATGGATGGTCAGCGGCCCGGGCGCCCTCACGGGCCGCCGGCCAGCGGCCGCGCCGGCCCCGCGGCGCACAGCACCCGTCACCTCGCGGGCCGCCGCCACGCCGCCAGCCAGCCGGGCGCCCGCCAGCCGAAGCTGCTCCGCGCCGAGCCGGCGGCGCCGCCTCGCGGCCTCGGCCCGGGCCCTTGCCACGGTGAGCGCGACTGCCACCGAGTGGCCCCCGCCTTTACCGCTCCTTCCTTCCCCGCCGGCCCTCCCTCCTCCGGACGACCCAACCTCATCTTCGCCGCCCATCTCCTCTCATCCCCTCCGCCCCTTCCCCTCCCCCTCCCCTCCCCCTCCACCGCTGCACGCACAACCTACTCATTTCACTTTCACCTTCCACGAAACTCACCTTTCGAAATCGCTCTCCGTCTCTCGCGCGGGGGAGAAAAAAACGACCTTAAAAACCCTCTCGGTAAGGGCCATTTCCCCGCTCTCAGCGACAGGAGAATTGGTGTGTGGTGAGGGGGAGGGAGGGCGGAGAGGGGAGGGGAAGGGTGGGAGAGGGGGGAGGGAAGGGGAGGGGGGGGGAAGGGTGGGGAGGGAGGGAAGGGGAGGGAGGAGAGGGAAGGGAGGGGCGCAGGGCAGGGGATAGCTATGAGAGGGGATACAGGATAGGGGTAGGGGGGACGGAGGGGGGCAGGCGTGAGGTGATCATATCCGCCGCGGCAGTTCTCGTGAGGATATTTATTTTCTTGTATTTGCCAGTTTTTACATCTCAATTTACTTTTTTCCCATCCATTCCTTTGCAAATCGTTCCGTTTCGTTTTTCTTCACATCTTTTTTTTTCTCTTTTCTTTTTTTAAACGATTTTTCCTTCTCTTCAAGTGATTTTTTTTTCTATTCCGACATCTTATTTTCTCTCTTTCTTTCCCTCTGGCATTTACTTCTCTCGCCCCTTCGTCTTCCTTGCGAAGGTCTGACAAGACAATCTTCCCGTAAATGGCACTCTGCACTCGCACACCACACACACACACACACACACACACACACACACACACACACACACACACACACACACACACACACACACACACACACACACACACACACACACACACACAAACGCAAACGCACACACACACACACACACACACACACACACACACACACACACACAACACACGCACAATGACAGGACACACACACACCACACACACACACACACACACACACACACCACAGCACACGGGCACACACACACACACACACACACACACACACACACACACACACACACACACACACACACACACACACCACCACAAACACGCACAACACACGCCACACACACACACACACCACACACACACACACACACACACACACACACACACACACACACACACACGCACACACACGCACGCACCACGCCCACACGTGATGATGATGATGATTGATGATGATGATGATGATGATGATCATGATGATGATGATGATGATGATGATGATGATGATGGATGATGATACTGATATGATGAGGATGATGATTGATGATGATGAATGGATGATGATTAATAATAATAATAATAACAATAATAATAATAGCAACAACAAAAAACGTTTGTCAATACATTCTCAATACTTTGTCCTCAGTGCCGCCCTCTTCCCCCAAACATTTCCTGTTTCTCTTCCAAACTCAATAACTTCTCCTTGACAGACACGGCCAGCAATAACCCAATATCATACATAATAAACGTTGCCTTCAAAACAAACGTCAGCCAAAAAACGTTTCCTTGAACGATGCTTTTGATTTAATATTTCAGTTCCTTGCCCATTTTTATGTGTAGATTTTTTTCTTCCGTTTTTAAAAATATTAGATAAATACTAAAACATCAATAATCATTTTCTCTTTAAATAAACGTTTGATATCCTTTAATCTAAACTATGGATAATGAACGATAATCATTAATTGAATTCCTAAAAAAATATGAAAACTAGACAGGAAAATGATCATGCATTGGCACAGAAACTAAAGTATAAAATATTCATCAATATGTATATAGGCCTAAAATTTTACAAATCTGAAAAATCCATAATAGCCGCTTACGAAATAATAAAAAACAGAAAGAAATCAATTTAGAAATAAGGATAAATCGAGCACACACATCCCATATCTATATAATGACTTCACCCAAAAGAAATTCAACAAAAAAAAAGTACAGATCCGTAATTATCATAAAAAATAAAGATCACTAATATTTCCGTCATCAGTTGAATCCATCCATACAAAATAACTAAATTACTATAAAAATCACGCTACCCAATTCCTCAAATACAAATAATTATCAATAACTAAAAACTAATCATCTATTCACACACACCTCCATCGACCCCGTCCATCCACTGCGATTATCCATCAAAAAAAGATAAAAATTAAATAAAAAAATCTCCATTGAAAAAATACCCACGTACCCCACCCATCACCAGAGAAAACCCACTCAAAAAAAATCCATAAACGCCATAAATCCAGCCACAAAAATCCCCTCCTAACTCCCCACTCCCCCTAACTTCTACCTCACCGTCCCCACCTCCCCCCACTCCCCCTTAACCCTCCATCACCCACCCTAGACCCCCGGTGGCTCGCGTGCCTTCAAATCAGTTGCGTAATTGACCTGAAATTGACGTAACTAACCTCAAATCCCGATCAATACTGACCTCACAGCCGCCGTCACTCCTCGCCACGACCCGCTCTCAAAGCTGGAAAAAGAGAGAAAGAATTAATAATAAGCACACGTAAAATGGGTGATAGATAGATAGATAGTTATACAAAAATAGATATATATGTATATATACGCGTGTGTGTGCTTGTGTATGTATATGTATATGTGTGTGTACATATATGTATATGTATAATATATGTGCTGCTGTATATATATATATATATATATATATATATATATATATATATACTATAATATGTATATATATGTATACGGAGATAATAGAGGCGGAGAGAGAGCAGGAGAGACGGGTTAGGTAGTAATAGATCGATAGACATAGAAATTGAAGATAAAAGGTAAAAGGTAAATAGATAGATCGATAGACAGATAGTCAGAGACAGACTGATATGGACAGAGATATATAACGAAATGGAAACAAGTATTCGTTTCGGTGAGACAAAAATCTGAAAATAATTTCCTTTAAAATCTCAAATTCCTGAAGTCGTCCATCTTCACCCCAAAACACTACACTCTGAACCAGGACCAGGTTACTTTCCTCCTTATATGACTACCGAGAACATACCGATATAAATCTACTTCCATAATTACGCACCATCGCCATAATCTAAGAATTACTTAGTAAGTAAGGCGATATTCATCTAACATGAGAGAGAGAGAGAGAGAGAGAGAGAGAGAGAGTGAGAGTGAGTGAGTGAGTGAGGAGTGAGTGAGAGAGACGAGAGCAGATAGATAGATAAAAAAGTGAGAGGGAGAGGGAGTTATAGATAGATGGATAAAAGAGAGAGAGAGAGAGAGAGAGAGAGAGAGAGAGAGAGAGAGAGAGAGAGAGAGAGAGAGAGAGAGAGAGAGAGAGAGAGAGAGAGAGAGAGCAGAGAGAGAGAGAGAGAGAGAGAGAGAGAGAGAGAGAGAGAGAGAGAGAGTGAGTGTCAGAGAGAGAGAGAGAGATTGAGAGGAGCGGATGAAGAGAGCGAGAAAGCGAGAGACAGAGAGAGGGAAAGAGGGAGACACACAGACAGATCCAAACGCAGCTTAACAATCGTTCTCTATT